CTCCCTTAAAACAATGCTCATTCTTACCACTTTATCTGTGACTTTCAGTCAAACCATCTTGTTGCTTATTTTTATCTTGTTTGGTTTCCTTACCTTTTATCTGCACTTTAAATCAAGGACAGAAAATGGCAATGTGTGGAGAGGGGGTTTGTGAAGGCCACTGACTTCCCTAACGGGGAGGCCTCGCTGCTGCCCAGTGGTCCTGGTGAGATGCAGATTGTGCCCGAAGTGTCGGCCTGATGCAGCCCTCACCCCCAGCGTTGGTCTGCTAGGGCTGCCTGCAGTTACAGAGGCTGGAAGTCCAGGTCGAGGGGTCGCAGGGTTGGTTCCATCTCAGGCTGAGGGAGAATCTGTTCTAGGTCTCTCCTAGCTTCCGGTGGTTTCTGGAAGTCGCTGGTGCTTCTCAGCTTGTGGACACGTCACCCTGGTCTCTGCCTTGTCTTCAGGTGGTATTCCCCCTGGGTGCATGTCTGCGTCCCGATTTCTCCCTTGAATACAGACACCAGTCATGTTGGATGCAGCCGACTGTGCTGCAGGGGGACCTCATCTTCACTAATTAATCTGCAACGACCGGACTTCCGCGTGAGGTGCCATCCTGAGGTGTGGGGTTAGGACCTCAACATATGAGTTTTGGGGAGACAGTTCAACCCCTATATCCCAGACATCACCTGGGAACGTTCCAACTTTTTATAAAAATGCTGGTTTCTTTGCCTTCTGTGCTTGAAATGCCACATTACAGGGAGTGTGCAGGGTGGTCAGGAGTGCAGAACTGAGCTCACTGTGAGCGCTGCTGTGTTCCTGGCACAAGGCCATGGTTTGCTCTGTCTCTGTTCTGCTTGAAGCTGCTTGACACCAAAGTTCAGTGTCCACCACAGGTGTGTCTTTTCCCATTGTGTCCGTTGCAGGCAGAGCTCTGGGGGAGGCCGAGTTCTTTGTGGGAAGTGTAGCCTTTTGCGTCTGTGCTCCTTCCTGCTCTCAGTACACCTGCCCCCGCGCGCCCCGGGCACCTCCAGATCACCAGTCCTCCCCTTTCTAAACTCTGTTGCCTGCTTGTAATTGGGAATTTGTGTGTCTCTTTCTTTTGCTTGCATTTTTTTCTTATTTTTTTGCTTTATTTTAAAACTTAATTAACTTATTTATGATCCCTTTATTATTGGGATATAATTGACATGCAGCACTATCTTAGTCTCAGGCACCCAGCGTCAGGATTCAGTGTGTGTCTATACTGCATAACGATCACCACACTAAGTCTGCTTAACATCCATCACCACGCATAGTTACAGAATTTTTAATTTTCTTGTGATAAGAACTTTGAAGATCTGCTCTCAGCAACAGCTTGCTTATTTTTGAGAGCTTTATCCCAGGCCACTTTAGAATACGTCCTTAGTCACAGTCACACAGTCAAACTTGTATTTTGCACTTCCACAGAACACTTTCTAGTTAAGAGATTTTAGAACTTAAGTTCTCAAGTGAACACGTACCGAGTCCAGGCCGTTGGGAATGGGAAGCTAGCACTCTACCCACTTCTCATTGGCTGGTGTAATAGTAGGGCTCCTATGGATAGCTTAAGGCAATTCTGGCTGTGTAATTTTTAGCCTATTTTAAACATTGTAAGAATTGTCATGTGTTTTAGAAACCCTGGGGCGAGATCTGACCAAGCAGGGCTGTTGATTTGATCCCTGTTTTAAGCAGATTTGCTGCCCAGTTGCAGGGATGCCAGTCCTCTTGGACATGTGGAGTTGTTCTCAGGGTCATTCCATCGTCCCTTTACGCGCGCCACAGGAGGACTGGGTGATGGAGCGGCAGCAAGCAGCATGCGCGGCAAGGCAGGTTCCACAGACCTCGCCTGGTCTTGGTGTCCATCTGCGGCCCGCTCACCATTCTGTTCATCAGGGAAGGTTCCCTGGGGCTGGCCACCCTGAGCTTCTGCGCTGCCTGCCTCTGGGGCGGGGTCTGCTGGCAGCCGGGTCTGGGTCCTTCCCTGGAGCCTGTGCCCCCTGCTCCCCAGGGACAACTCCACCCCTCTGAGGTGCCGAGACCTGGCGCTGATCATTGGTCATTGTATCCACTGCTTCTCGGGTTTGCCCTCTGTGCAAATTCCTAACAGAGAAGAGCGCTTCACCCCCACCCCAGCCAGCAGGACCCAGGTCCCTTCTGGAGAGCAGGTTTGGGTTACAATGAGACTGGGGGAGGGTGGCACCCACAGAGGAAACAAAGCCTACACTGAAGACGAACATCAAAGTAGTGACTGGGGCCAGCCTGCTTCCCACAGCCCAGCAGCCAGCATGGTGCACCTGTAAGTGCGTTTCTCTACCTTTTTAAAATTTCTTACATGTCCTTTCATTTGCCCATCTCAGTGTGCTCGCATCTAACTTAGACTTTTATTTGTGTCCTTCATTTCTTTCTCTTTTCTCACATCTTCCTTTCCCTGTCTTGATTTTAATTTCTCATTAGTTTCCTTTAAGCTTTTATTTCATTTTTTACATTTCTTATTCATTTTCTCCCTTTCCTTCTTGTTTTATTCTCCCTGTCCTTGTGTTTCCTTATTACGTGGAGGTGAACAGCGTTCCCTGAGTGCCTGTTTTGTGGGCACAGTGTTAACTTTGGTAAATGGTTGTATGATTACAAATTGAGAAACCGGAGTCCTGTGATTTCCTCTTTTCAACTATGTTTTGACACATGAAACCACTTGTTAAAGAAAAAAAAGTTAGTTTGGGTGGAGATGAAACTATTACAGACATAGTATTCTAATTTAGTATAGATAGAAAACTTATGTATTTTAGACTTAATTTGCGTGGTTTCTCTCCTCTCCTTCCCTCTCCTGGCATCTCTTCTCGACTTCTCTTTTCTTTGATTAGAAGTCAAGAAAGTGGCTCTCAGACCAGCCCTGAGCAGATCTGTGACACAGAGAGGCTGTGACAGATATTCTTTTGCTTTTCTGCATTTCTTGTCTTCTGTCCATGTGGTTGGTGACACCGTTGTACATTTTTCTCCTTAAGAAGTAGGTCAGAATTGCTTGTCGATAAAGCTTTCAGATTAAAAAGGTGCTCATAACTACTAAATAGATCAACTTTTTACCACTCTGAGCTACAGTAATTTTAAAAAATAATTCCTGAAGTTTTTTCTCTATAGATCAGGTGATTAAACTGTCTTTGGATCCCTTGATACTCTTAAAATTGTTTTTAAATTGTAGTAAGAACATTTAATGTGAGATCTATAATTTAAATAGATTTTTAAGTATACAAATAGTATTGGTAACTAAAGACACTACGTTGTTCAGCAGATTTCTAGAACTTACCTTGCACAACAGAAATTTATACCCACTGGTTAGCAACTCCCCATTTCTTGCTTCCCAAGCCCCAGGCAGCCAGCATGCTCTTCTTTGCTTCTCTTAGTTTGACTTTGTTTGACCACCTAAGTGAGGTCCTGCCAGACTGTCCTTCTTTGCTGGGCTTATTTCACTTAGCATAATGTCCTCCATGTTCACCTATGTTGTCTCATGTTACAGGACCTCCTTCCTTTTTAAGGCTGAATAATATGCCATTGTGTGTATGCACCACATTTTTTTTATCCATTCATCCATCAATGGACGTTCAGTTTGCTTCCATATCTTGGAAGCACCTCCATGTCAGGTGACTGGCGCTGCAGGGAACGCGCGAGTGCTGATACCACTCTGAGGCCCGGATCACAGTTCCTCCGGGTAAATGCCCACACGTGGGAGTGCTGGACCATACAGCAGTTCAGGTTTTAATTTTTTGGGGGGACCCCTGTACTGTTTTACAGAGGCTACACCATTTCACATTCCTACCAACAGTTTATGTGGATTCCAGTGTCTCCACATCCTCATCAACAATTGTCATTTTTAAAGAAACAGAAACAGCCCTCATCTGAACAGTCCGAGGCGATCTGTCGCAGTGGGTTTGATTTGCATTTCCCTGATGATTAGCAGCATCTGCTGGCCATTTGTTCTTCTTTCGAGAAATGCCTATTTAAGTCTTTCATCTATTTCTTAGATTTGATAATTATTTTTATTTTGTTTTTGTATTTGTTTTGCTATTGAATTCCTTATGTAGTTTGAAAGTCAACTCTTACCAGATAGATGGTTTGCAAATATTTCCTCCCATTCTGCGGATTCCGTTTTCTCTCTCTGTTGATTGTCTCCTTTGCTGCACAGAATCCTCCAGGTTGATGCAGTCACACTTCTCTGTGCTTTTGGTATGATATCCAAGAGATCATTGCTAAGGCCAATGCCATGAAATTTCCCCCTACGTTTTCTTCTAGGAGTTGTACAGTTTCCGTTCTTACATTTGCAGATCTCAGAGAGGGATTCAGGGACCCCTAGAGTCACACTAGAGGAACTGCCAATTTAGATATCTGGTGGCTATTTACTGAGTGCTGTGTACTAGGTGTTCCAGCTATGGTGGTAAGAAGGTGGGAATATGATGGAGGACTTTCTTGGCACCCAGGAATTCAAATCACCTACGGGTCTCTGCTCTATCAATGCATAAGATAATCTATACATCTGAAAAATAAGCGTATGTATGTATTCAATGAAAATGATTTGGTATTTATTTTATGATCAGTAAAGTCTTAGTCAGTATGATTATAATCTGGATATTTATTTCAAGTCGGTGTCTGAGTCACCAGCCAAGCATTACTGCAGAACATTCTTGTGAAATCCAGTCTCCTGCTAGGATCATTACCAAGAAAAGCACCAGGGGTTTCGATTATGTTTCTTGCTACATGGTTAACCAAGTAAAACAGGGAGTGTGTGTGAACAATCATATCCTCTTTTCTATTTACGTACCAGCCACTTTCAAAAGCCTTTTTCTTATAAAAATGTGGTATAATGATAAAACGCATTATCACGGTATCAATTACAAGGAATAAGACTGTTAAATAACATCACCCATCATTTTGAGAGACCCTTCTGAGTGGCTGTCACCTTTACTTCCAAAGAGTCATGGACCTAAGTGTGGTCATTTGCTTCTTCATTTCAGAGAGTTTTGAGAAAGCTGTGCCATCAAATAGCCACATGGTGTCAGAACGTGGAAAAAACATCACACTCACCTGTCAGCTTCCAGTGAAGTGGTCAGTACAACAAGTCATGTGGGAGAAGATCCAGCCCCATCAGATTGACCTGTTGACTAGCTGCAACTTGTCCCAAGGGAGAGGTCACATTTCCAAGTACCGAAGACAGATCCTGAGCAGCTGCCACCAGGGAATGGGGAGCACGTCCATCACTGTGCCGCACCTCGTGGCCTCCGACTCAGGACTGTACCGCTGCTCCTTGCAGGCCAGCACGGGGGAAGGTGAAGACTTCGTGGTGAGGTTGACCGTCACTGATGGTGAGTAGATGATGAATGTCTTCCCATCAAAATGGAAAAAGCCAACCTCTGTGGATTGGTTGCTGTTGTCCTTTTCATGACTTAAATTCGAAGTATTTTTCAATGATTGAATTTAGGTAAGTTGCCAGTTACTGAAAGTTAGCATCTAGTATTTATCTTGCTAATCTATAAATCACAGATTAAACAATAATAGATCTTGCTCATTTTCTTGATCTGCCACCTGCAATTTAAAAAAAATTCAGTAAGTCTGAAACACACAGTTATCAACAGCCAGTAAGTTCGAACTGTATTAACTGCAGTTTTTTCAATTACATTAAAACTTTTTGATGATGGTGACTAGGTTTTATAATTCTTCGGTTTGCTCAGCAATAACAAGATGGTGCCAGGTTGGTATTTGTTGAATCAGTTGTTGAGTGGAGTGGAATTTAACAGCTGTTTGATAATGTGGTCGCCACTGCCAGATCGGCGCTCTGATTCCCACGGCTGTTTTCAGACCTGGGAGCAGAAACAGACCAGCCTTGAACCTACTGAAGCTGACCTTGAGGGCCTCTTCTCTGAGCAGGCTCCGCCCAAGGCTCAATAATACTAATTTTGTATTAGTACTTTGTCTCCTGTGTCATATTGAAGCCCTAAATTGTTTAAGCGTCAGGTCCCACAAAACCTGTGTGAGAATAAGGAAAACTGATTTTTCACTTACTGAAGTGCAAATGCAGCGAGGCCCATGGAAGTCTGTGTAGACACCTGCCTTACAGCTGAGCGGAGGAGGAAAGCCATCCAAGCCGTGGGAGTCTTCTCACTTCAGAGGGGCATGTCAGAGAATATAATTCATCTTTACTGGTGACAGAAATCTTATTTCAGTTTATTCTCACTCTCCCCTTTCCTTCCTTCTTTCTTTCTCCTCCCTTCTATCTGTCACCCACCCATGCATCACCCACCCATCTTGCTCCCTTTCATTCGGATGCTCTCTGCCAGCTCATGCGCCTGGCTGGCATGCAGGCTTTCAGAGCCAAGGCTCCCTAGCATTTGGCCCTCCGCTATAGACCCCATTTACACTGCAGGCTGATGTTTCTTCCTGCCTCAGAAAGGAAAAAGAGAAGGCTCTGCATGGACAGCAGCCCCCACCTCTGTGTGAGCTCAGGAGGACGTCGGCCAGGGACTGGCAGCTGCCCGCACTGGTCACCCTGGGCCGCAGCAAGCTTTCTCTGTACCCTTCGCGACGGTGGGTGCTGTGGGTGAGCCCGGCCTCCTTAGCAGAACTTGATGCCAAAGAGGGCTGAGGGGATGTTTGCGGGAGGAAGGGGAGCAGATTCTTCACTTTAGATTTGACTCCATTCCTTCAGGTACAAAATATATTTACCTAAAAACAAAAACAAAACCATTTTTTTATAGAACTGATGTTTAAACATGGCTAGAAACAGAATAAAATTTGTCAGTAACACTAATCTTCTCTCAGAGAGAAAAGCAAGAAAAGGTTCTATTCAGAAAAAAAGTCAAAAAGAACCATTTTCAAACACATGTGAAATAGGATATTGTCCATTATATGTTGAAAGTTATTATAAATACCTTAAATCATAAAGAAAGAGGTAATAGATTTTTAGGAGGTATAGTTATTTAATTCTTCCTAATAAAATATCTTTCACTTGACCAAACATGACTAAGTTTCTTGTACAAACGACCTCTTTTCTTTATACACAGCTATAAACAGTGGCAAAAGTGAAGGCGACGGAATGGAATGGTCAGTATTGTTAGTGTCCATGTATTTTGAACACTTGCAAAATGGCTTTTTGACACAGATTGGAAGACCCTCAAATGGGCTCCTTAGCACATTTATAATTGACAGAAGATGACAGCTGTTGACAGTATATTATGGCTTAACTGAGTCTTAAAATAACTATAAAGATCGAATATGAAGAAATCAGATGGACAAATGAAAACAGATCACTTGTATTTTCTCTGATGTGATTTGATTATTTCAAGACTTGAGGCTGTTTGGGTAAAAATCAATGTGAAGATTAAAGCAGAGAGACAGCTATAAGATGCGGAGCAGACTTAATTTATTTCAGCTGTCGAGGGAGAGGCGATAGCGACGCAGATTCTATACACTGCCGTGCATCCTTCGGTTGGGCTCCCGTCAACTTCTTTTACAGGACCCAGAAGGGCGATCTCAGGACTCTCATATTCACACACACGCAGTGTTCTTCCCCTGACTTTTGCCTGCCTTCTTTATCTTCAGACAGGTACCAGGTACCCAGAGGTCACCCGAAAGGTGACACAGTGTCAACCAAGATCATTTTGAATGGGGTAGGAAGGTGGCAGAAGCAAGAGTGGAACCTGAATTCACTACTGACTTTCTTTACTGAATGCAGAGAAATACTTGTCTCCCGTCCTTTGCACTCAGGACCTTAGAAGTAGCTGAGAATAGTTCCAGACTGACTTTTCTGAGTTTGAAACTTGTCTAGACCCCAAAGGCAAGGAGCAGGGGGAAAACTGTGTATACTGACAGTAACCAATTTTTGACCCTTGATATCCCCTGAATTTTTCTTAGTCATGAGAAAAGTATTTTAGTTTCCACTGCAAGAGTTTGGGGAGTCTTTGAATATTAACTACATTTTCTGACTACTGTGGTTTGGGCTTATTGATAATAAAATGAAATGAGGGAGGATCAACGGAATGAAATCATCTCTCTCAGAAAGTTTCTGGAGGAGACTAGTTGTGCACAAGCTTCCATTGGCCGCAGATGTTTAGTCACTCACATCCTTCTCCAAACTTCGGCCATTAATGAGGCCACTCAGCAGAGCCAGCAAGTTCCAACTGCCGATCAGAGCAGAGGAAAGAGACAAAACAGGGCAGGGGGAGTGACAGAGAATGTGCAAGGGGGGAAGGGACAAGGGAGTCGTGTGTGGGTGACGGCATCCAAATCCCTGGTTGGTGCAGAGATGCCGAGTTACGGATCAGGGTAGGAGTCAGGTCCAGTTGCGTGATAGTGGTGAAATTCTGGATCTCAGAAGAGCAGTGAAAGCCATACCAATCTGTGGCCAAAGATAGCAAAATGATATTCAAGGAAGTGTAAGTCAAATCGTTGAATATAGAATAAAAAAGAGCAATTTGAGGTAGAGGAGATTAGTTAAGAGTCAGTTTCAGGAGCCAGTGCATGAGTGGTGGAGTTCCCAAACTGGACTACCCCCCAACCAACACACAGTCCACAAAAAGGAGCCCACTCCAGGCAGACAAATCTCAAACGGTGCCTCCTCAGGGCAGGCAAATTAGAAAAGGTGTCCCTTCCTCTGGGCTGATGCACACCTAAGCTGGGTGGGGGACAGGCTTGGTGACAGGCCATGGTGACGGGCCATGGACCCCCAACCAGCATGGCCAGGCACAAAGGTGGCCTGGCCAAGGGGGCAGAGACGTTGTTAGGCAGGTTGGAGTGCCAGCTTCTGCTTGCCGTGCCTTGACGGTCACGCCTTCCCTCCTTGTCTTCCTGACCAACCTGCTAATTTACCTCGTTTACTTCAGCGTTTCACTCAGATCTCTGCACACTCAAGATTTTTCCACATAAGCCCAAACTGTTTCCCTGCCATCGAACTGCTCAGTACCTTGAATTTCTCAAACTTTTATAACTTAGAAATGTATACTCATGAGTCGTGTATGCTTAAGAACTGCTGCATCTATTTGCAATGCTTCAGACCCTCACGTTAGAAATTACTTGAGATGAGGCATTGTAGCATCTCTGCTTAGAATTGTCAAAGCATCTTTCCAGAATATGCTCAGTAAGTGTTCTTGAATGATTTTTTTTGTATATTAATATTTTTATGTACTCCGGGAGAGGGCTGTGTCCATTTTATTTTCAACTTTTCTAGCTAAATGATTTCTAGATTTTTTTCATCCCACCTAACATTTGAGGTTTAGTGATTGCTGATTAAAGAAACCTGAGCTCTCATAAGATCTGCAATGTTTGGGGAGAAAATTTTCACAAACTTTGTTTATATTTATAACTTTCAAAAACTTTAGGTTCCGTATTTTGCATATTTTATATAATGATGCATGATTGCTAGATACCAGACCTGGAGGATGGGGTTTACGCATGAAGATTACAGAAGTATTCACTAAAAAATTGCGGGATCACAGCCGAGAGAATCTTCCCCTGTATTTCTGCTGTGAAGCAGGGTTGGCAAAAAGACAGCATGGAGTGATAGAGGGCCACAGGTCATACATTTTGCCTATGGATGGCTTGGTGGGCATTACTGATTTGGGGACTCTGTGCTCCTGAGTTGAACTATGAGAATATTGAGGAAGAGAAATAAAGTCATTCTGCTAAAATTCAACCATTTTGCTCCTTAGTGAACAATTTCAGATTGTAGACAAGAGATTTTCTTTTTTTTAGAGATTCATTAATCCAGAATCTTCTGTCTTACCCCTGTGAATTTATAATATGTTGAATATTATAGGCATGGGTGGGAGCTGTCTGAACTGGCATGCACTGGGCTGTCAGATATGTTCATTTCCATGACATAGTGTGATGAACTTCAGCCTTTTGTTTTCTTTACCTACATAGAAAATAATGTCCATGACAGCTAATTTATATGACAGAATCACAGGACCAGAATCCCAAGCATTAGTGTCACTGCTTGTAAGTTAAAATAGCCTCTACTGAAACAGATTAATTGCAGTTTTCAGCTCAATTTAGTTATGCTTTTTAAATTCTGGGTGATAACTGGATACCCAGATGAAGCATAGCATTTCCAGCATCATAAGTGAGTTGATTACTCAATCATAGCCCATTATGTCATTGTATTTTTTTTTAGATAATTATTTTTTATTGAAGGGTAGTTGACATACAGTATTACATTAGTTTCAGGTGTACAACACAGTGATTGAACATTTATATACATGATAATTCTAGGTACCCGCTATCACCATACCAAGTTGTCACAATATTTTGACTATATTCCTTATGCTGTACATTACATCCCGGTTACTTACTTCTTTTACAATTGGAAGTGTGTACTTTATTTTATTTTTATTTATTTATTTATTTATTATTTATTTATTTATTTATTTATTTATTTATTTATTATTTTGTGTGTGTGAGGGCATCTCTCCTATTTTTTTTGATCAAATGGTTGTTAACAACAATAAAATTCTGTATAGGGGACTCAATGCTCAATGTATAATCATTAATCCACCCCAAGCCTAATTTTCATCAGTCTCCAATCTTCTGAAGCATAATGAACAAGTTCTTACATGGAGAACAAATTCCTACATAGTGAATAAGTTACATGGTGAACAGTACAAGAGCATTCATCACAGAAACTTTCGGTTCTGATCATGCATTATTAACTATAAACAGTCAGTTCAAATATGAATATTCGTTTGATTTTTATACTTGATTTATATGTGGATCCCACATTTCTCTCTTTATTATTATCATGTTTAATAAAATGCTGAAGTGGTAGGTAGATGCAAGATAAAGGTAGAAAACATAGTTTAGTGTTGTAAGAGAGCAATTGTAGATGATCAGGTGTGTGCCTGCAGACTATGTGTTAATCCAAGCTAGACAAGGGCAATAAAACATCCACGGATGCAGCAGATTTCTCTCAGAATGGTGGGGGGAGGTTCTGAGCCTCGCCTCTGTTGTGTCATTGTATTTTATAGTTACCTCTGCCTAAATCAGTTCTTTTACAGGACATTGAATTAAAGAAAAATGCAACCTGCCAGTTAATTTGTTTTGTAAGCCCATGTATTGATTCATTCATCTTTCCTAGGGCATAGAATACTGGAATGTTTGCCTACAGTCATTTTTTTATATACCATATTTGTGTGGATAAACATGATATTGAATTGGATAATAATATCAGCAGGATAACATCAGAGAGAAGGAAATGTTGAAAGAGCTCATGTTAAATTGATTTGATGATGCTCTTACATAAGGAGCATTGTTACATGTATGTTGCTAGCTCACACATGTAAAGCAAATTGTAATTGACCTCCGCTATAAACAATGTAAGTTGGTGGTATTAGAAAGCACCTACTCCTAGCAACTGATTTAAGTTTCTCTAAGTGGATCTTTATCCTCAGCCTGAATTTCAAACAATTTTCTAAAGTTTTCCTCTCCCTAGGAACTCAGAGTACAGATAAGGGTTCAAATTCAGACAAATGTACTGATTTTCTTCCCACTTAAAAATCTGTGGCCACACTTCTTTGAGAGACCTGTCTAATGACTTCAACTGAAAGATAGCTATTTATACTCCAGTCATGAGATTTTTCTTTTAAAGCATCTAGGAATTGTTAAAAGCTTGCTGTTGTCTCTCAGAACCTTATTAGAAACTGAACATAGATGATTGTGTGAAGTGTTCCCCAAAGGCAAATAGAAAATTACTTAAGATTTTGAAAAAATGTGTTCATCATATAATATTAATGGCATTTCATTCTGGATAGAATTCTAATCTTAAGTTTTACAATTTGATTAGACAGTTACTTCCACCTTCAACTGAAGTATTTCAAAAGTGTGCTGACCTGACTCTTGACAAATATTCAAAGGTGACATAGTAGGTATGCAGAGGACTATTCTGTTTAAAATGACGGGAAATGAAAGTTAAGCACAGATCTGTCATTTGGAGAGATGTATCTTTAAGTTATCTGCACTGAATGATTCAGAGGTTTTTCAAAGACATTTATTCAGCAGAGAAATGTTCTTGGATAACCTTAATAAACAAATACTTTACACCCTTAATTGGCCACTCCAAAATTTATTTCCAGAATTAATTAATCTATTGCATTTTTGCTAGAACTCAAAAGTAACAATGACATTCATAATCCTTTACACGTAAGTGGCATTTCATTTGATTAACCCACAGGAAGAGATTCCTCTCACAGATACAGGGTTGAAGTGTGAACACTCTCGGCTGGATCGGTGGGCTCGGAGAAGTGGCTTCAGCTATGGTGAACTAGTGAATGAAAATATCATGGCGATGGTGGCCCATGAGGAATGGATATTGAGAGGAGATGAGTGCATGACAAAGGGTGGGATGTTTTCTGTGGCTTCATATCAGAGAAGCTCTAGGACAGGCTGGGTAAACCCATGACCCCCAAATCAGGGCCACAAAGGAGGCAGGTTCACAAATATACAAATACATGCTTGCAAAGTGTGAATTATTGTCCTGTTGCAGGTAGGCTCTGTCCTATGCCTGCAGTTCTCTGTGTCTCACACAAGGCAGTGAGGAAAGTTCTCCCCTCTTAGTGTGTGTGTGTGAACATTTGTGAAGTAAGATACCCGAGAACGTTTGCTAAGGGGAACAGTGAGCACATTATTCACTCTGCTATATGGTGAATGTTCAATAAGCACATGTGACTGTGGGGGCAATTTTATACTCATATAAAAAAAACACTCGTGCCAAATCACATGTGCCAAGTCCCAAACACTTTAATACAAACAAGTTGTTTTATGTTAACTACTGTCTTCTCTCTCTGATCCAATAAATAAAAGTATCAGCTTTGAAATATACTCATGCAATTCCTATTTAAATCACAGGCTATTCTTAAAAGGAGAGGTCAGTTGGCTAATTAAACTCTAGAGCATAACGCTGCAGAGTTGGAAATTATTGCCAGAGCTTTTGTTTCTTAAAGCCAGGCACTGGCCTTCATCTGTTTTGTGCAGTACTTAGTAAACATTTATAAAAGTAAAATGATTTAAAATTGGATAGAATATTTGGAAGTAAATGCTTAGTCCAAAACTTGCTGCCTGTTTCATATTCTAAAATGATCTGTATGACATGTGCAGCACATTTATTCGTAAGCCTTCATAAATGCCATATAGTTTGAATTTTGAAGTTTTCTAAGGGCCCACGGGGTAAGTTATCAGTTAACAGTTATAAGAACTAAGTGTCACAGGGCTTTGTCTTGGCTACTATATGACGAGCTCACATATAGTGCTTATATATGTGTGCCAGTCACTCGGAGAATTCACTGATTCAGCTGTCACACTCATTTAGCTATCACCACAACTCTGTTATTACCCACATATTCATGAATGAGGAAAGGGTGGCATGGGAAGGTTGTGGACCTTATTCAAGGCTTCACAGCTAGTGAGGAGAGGGGCTGGGAGTCAAAGCTGGCAGACTAGCTTTGGAGTTCCTTTTCTTAGCCATGGCACCATAATTGCTGCTCCAAGTGGAAGGGAACAAAATCATTCCTATGGCCAACAGGTACATCACGAGAGAAGCTGGCTTGGTAGAATTCCAGAGCCCTGTGGCTTCCTTTTAGGAGGTTGATAGGCAAGGCCAGATCTCAAATTAAACCCCATATACAGCAAGTGTAAGCAAAGGAACGGAGTTTGACCTCCCATATTTTCTTCCATCTCTGTGTGCTTAGTAGTCTGTTCAGGTCATCACAGGTGCTGTGTAGGGCTGCGGGGGGCTCTCCACTGACTTGTTCCCTTTGCTGGGGACTGTGGGTATCATGGAGTCCTGTGAGAGAGGGTTTCCACACAGCACACGAAGGATGGGCAAAGTCGGATAGCAGGTGGTAGGGGCTGGAGGGGAATGCTGGTGGCTGATGTAGTCAGTCCACACCGGGAACATAGTAGGGGGACTGGTGATAGCTTAGCGACCCCATAGCTTCTCGGTCTTACAAAGCACCTGCCCCCAAGGTCTTCACCAGATTTGCCCACTGAGAAAGTCTACTCCCTTGAGCAACTTCCCAGGAATCTTCTCAGAGTCCCCAACACAACCCAGAGCCAGAGTTATGAGCCACCCAAATTCTAGTTCCTCCAGCTTTACGGACAGCAAGAGCTTAACCTCTAAAATCTCCCAAGAAAAAAAAAGTGCTTTACTTTCTATATTAAAATATTCTGAATAGTTACATTCTCTCACATTTATAGGCCTCTATTTTGAACAGTGAAATATAAACAATGTTTGAATGGTATGGTATGCCTACTGTGTTCTATTACATGGGGAAAATGTTTATTTTGATTTCAGTAGAGCATTTGAAAAATTTCCTATTATGTCCTAGTGGATAAGCATAATGGTGACACCATAATATAGAGCTACACTTGGCTAAACAACAGTAATAATAACAATGTGTTAGGGAATTATAATTAGGAAAAACCCTCCTCCCTACCCAGAAAACTGCTCCACAAAGGTAGAAGAGAATGAAAACAATTTTCTCATTGAATAAGCATTAAACCACAATTGTGATACGCATCACAGGCAATCTGCTAACAGATTGCAAAGACAGAAAGAAATCTCACCTTTTATAGAGCAAAGCAGATACAGCTCATTACATATGTGCTCAAGGCAAACAGTAACTAGTCCTCAAGTAGAGGACTTGATGGCACCGTGTGTCACACACAGCCCACCAGGGGCCACCTGGCACGTGGGGTGACCCTCAGTGGAAGCTGTCTTTATCCAAAGGTAAAATGAACTCACCGCTTTCCACCAGGAGGTGTCTGCCTTTGGGGAAGGCACCTGCGGACATCAGCCTCCTACCCCCCCAGAGAGCTGGGGGCCCTGTTCCTCGATGATTACAGTCCAAAAGGATGGCTCGTATTATTACAGCAGCAGTATAGAAAACAACGATCAGCACAGGGAAAAGGCTCACAGGACAAAGACAGAGGGACTGAGCGACGTCCCGGAAGGAAAGCAGGGTCTAGCCATAGCCACACTGTTGACGCAAGCAGCTCAGACACAGCAAACTGCCCAATGGGAATGCTCCAAGAGTCCAGGCGCCTGCACCCTAGGCAGAGGGCCAGCCTTTGAAGCAGGCTAAGGACAACAGCCTTGGGCCCGCTGCATCAACTCTGTTCTGCTAATTCACCAGGGAAGTGAGCAAGATATGTGCAGTTCTTGGCATCCTGGCTCAGGATGCACAAATACAGTCTCCTTGAAATAATCAATGTTTATGAAAAGTGAAGGACATGCTCAAGAAATACAACATTAAGCAATATTTGGGTAAAAGAGGTGAGATATCTAATATGATGGAGTCAGCCTTGACAATTTTCTGCACCAGCCCTGTGCCTCCTGTGCCCAATCAGGTGCCCTTGGTGCCCGCCAGCCGCGGCAGAGCAGTGTGGTGCGCAGGACAGCGCGACACACGTCATGATATAGAGAGCAGCTAATGCAGTCATCCTATACTGAGGAGGGTCACCTTACAGCATGTGTTCGACTGTTTCTCAACTGCTGTAAAGTCTTAGAGTGCTTAAGTCATCTGGGAAGCCACTTTCCAGCGAGAGAGGCGACACCATTGTAGCAGAATCTGAGCGCTGAGCTGGAAGCTCGCTTCCCTCCCTGGCTTGCTATAGCACAGTGACTGAGCTTCTCTGTGTCTTCGTTTCTCAGTTACACTCTGGTAGTACTTGTATTTTAAGGAAGAATTGTCCTTCTCTCAAAAGAAAGAGTAGAGGTTGATGTCACGGTCCTTTTATTCTCTGAAAATAATTTATTCCCTAGGACCTTTTTGCTATAAAACAGGGAAAGGTTTCTGAAATACAAGGAGTATGAAATTGATTTGCACAAAGAAAGTTAACCTTTGAAAACTTGGAATAATATTACCATACCGATATCCACTTGATGCATATTTCAGGCATACAGGGAAGTTCAACAAACTTCAGGCTGCCATTCCTACCAGTGGTCTTCCGCAGTTGCTTGGTACATGTTTGTCAATATTACCTCTGCTTTTCCCAAGGGAGATGAGTCTAGTTACAGGAGCGAGCATCCTCTGTTATGTCTTACTAGTTCAATAAGACATTTCAACAGGAAAAGAATAGAAATGACTTATTTATATAAACTTAATTTTGAATGTATGTAAATAAAATGTTAGTCTGAGCCCCATAGCCACACTTATGGTTGATTTTTGTCATCATTTTGCAGTTGCCAAAAAAGTGTGTGGGAGGTCAAGTGTCACCCTGAAGTCTTCCAGGGAAAAGAATTGGAAGATAGGACGAGGCCCCAAGGCTTCTCTCCTCAATCTCAGTTCTTTGGGCAAATCTGTGTCTAAAGTGGGACCAAGGTTGGATATTTCCAACACAAATTAGAATCTACCTGATAACCCGGAGTCCATGGGCTCAGGCACCTCTACCCTGCGGGGACTCATGCACTGTGTATATTGCTGAGATCTAATATTTCTGCTTTTCTTTTAAATAAGCTAAGAAAGCAAGAGGAACTTTAACTGATACCTACTGTGACCTACCCAGGACTGGCTAGCGGGTTAGGATCTATGGGTTTTTTCTAGCATGCTTTTTGGGCCAGATATTTAGATTCTGAGTTCCTAGACTTCCTCACTCCCTAATCCCACCCAAACTCTGCAAAAGGGTAAACAGTAGACATTACTGTCTTCTCCTGCCTGCAGCATGCTGAGGGAAGGACCTGGCAGCATTTCTATCATGAGCCTTTCGAAGGGTTTATAACTCAGCCATAAATACTTGTCATTGGTAGAAATGTAGGCTGGAGGGTCACCATCCTGTAGTAAATTATTCATTTATATATCTCACTGACGTGCTTTAAATTGTTTTAACTGTATTTATCTTTTTGATGGGAGGGAAAATAATGGCTTTATGGTTCATGACACTCTTGTCCTCCTATGAATCAACACAGCATCAGGATGAAATTGGGAAAAAAAATCAGCAAAAAAGTGTTTGCTGAGAATAGACAATAATTCTTCTTTCTTTAGGAGAGGGGCTTGAGGGCTGACATCACTCAACCTAAGATCTGTCAGCAGGACTTCGGAAAAAGTGGATGTTATGAACTATTGATTAGCTCCCTGAAACATCTCTGCCCTTTTGCTCTTCCTTTTCGTTTTCAGCCACCCAGGGCCCAGCTGGTTGTGCGGTCACACCAGCCTGGTTCCAAGCACAGATGGGGCGTGCTAGTGCGGCAGGGAGGGCACTGAAAGGAGAGAAGCAGGATGGGCGCTGGGCTGGCTTCTCCGTTTTGTGACATCTCTGGTGTGTGGCTGAACCCCCACCTGACTCCCGTGTTTCTATCCTCATCTCTTACTGGAGAATGCATGTTTTTAAGTCATTCAGGGTCTTGCAAAATAATGTAAGCTTCTGAAATCAGGTACTGTGATATGGTAAGAAATAAATGTTTGGTCTCTGCCCCCAGTTCCTTCCACAGAGATCCTAAACCATTGTGATTTCCTCAGAGAGGGGCACAGGGAGCCTCTTTGCTATAACCATTGGTCTCAGTCCCCTGTTCCTGACACAAGAGCTTTTAAGGCCTTTGGAATCTGCAGAGGGACCAATGGCCTTGTATGTTAATGAGGTGACTGTGGGCTCACAGCCCCTAGCTGGCTTCTGGGCCGGGTTGGTGGCCAGGGAATCAACCATGTGATTAGACAGTTGGAACTTTTAGCCCCACCCTCTGACCCTGGAGAGGGGAGAAGGGCTGGGCATTGAAATAATCACCAATGGCCAATTATTTTAATTAATCATGCCTATGTGTTGGAACCTCCATAAAAGCCCTAAATACAAGGTCAGAGAGCTTTCAGGTTGGTGAACACAGGGAGGTGCTCTGGGGGTGGCACACCCCCGGAGGGCACGGAAGCCCTTTGTGCACTGACCGCCCCCCCACCCCCTAACCATCCTGCCAGTAACTTACCTGATGCATCTCTTCCGCTTGGCTATTCTTAGGTTGTATCTTTTATAATAAACCAGTTGTGGTGAGTAACGGTAAGTTTCCCTGAATTCCGTGAGCAGTTACAGTGAATTATCACCTGAGGCGCAGTCCTGGGAACCTCTGCTTCATGGCTGGATGCTCAGAGGCGGCCGGCCTTTACTGTGATTGTAGTCTGAAGGGGGTGGGTGTTTGGGAACTAAGTCCTTCACCTGTGTGGAGGGCTCTGTGTTAGCACTGGGGCAGCCAGTGTCAGAAATTTGGGAGGAGAGAAACAGTTTTCCTCAAGTTAAGTGTTTTTCTCTTAGGACCAAATTTGTTTTTACCCACCAGTTTATCTATAATGCCAGAATCCTAGCATGCCTTGAAATACAACGGGGTTAAAAGAGTGAATAAACAGATTGATTCCAACAGATGAATTGTTACTAGGCGAGTTGAAAGGTAATGTATTTCACATGAAGTAATGAATTTGACGTTTGGATCTGTAATTGTGCAGTGTGAAACAAATGGCCATACTTTTCAGTCGTTTCTACTTCTTCATTCATATAATTTAGAGCTTAATAAAAAAAGTGGTAAGGAAAATTTCTGAAATGTCCTAAATTAGGTGACTTAAAGACGGGAGAAAGAGGGAGAGATGAGACAACAGCACCAGGCAGTAGCAGCGGGGCAGAGCTAACCAGGAACTCCACACTCCTGGAGGAAGTCCTCTCAAGAAGCTTCTAGAAGGACCCCAGGACCACCGCATCCCCTTGTGTGTGACCAGTGTCTGACCCTTGTCAACAAGCAGCCCACGAGCCCTCTCTGTGGACTAGCCCCTTGTCCCCAGGGCCCCACCACTTTGCATTAGCCCACCTTCCCGATCTGCAGCCAATGTGAATTTAAAGCACTCTCTTGAGCCCTTACAAACGCCCCATTTCCTGAGTCTGATATACACGTTGTCTCTGTCACCCAAACCTGCTGCCGGTGGAGCAGAAACTGCCTGTCCCAGGACTCAGTCCCTTTTCTGGTTGCCTGTGTAAAGCTCAAACACCCTTGTATTTCAGAGATCTCTCGGTCTCTAGACTTTTTAGACTTTTTGATTTGTCAAAAGCCAACTTAATTCTTAAGCATAGTGAGTGTGCTTCTCCAGAGAAGCTCTCTACCCTTGTACCTTAAATATAACCACTAAAATTTGGCAATTATTCTAAGCACCTTTAAATTTCTGTGCTTTTTTTTCCTAATACAAGCAATACATCATTTGGAAAGTTTGGAAAATATCAAAAAGCCTAAGAAACAATTCCCTTTACGTCTACTCTCTGAAGATCACCACTTTAAAATTTAGTCATGTTGCCTTACAGGCTTCTTTTCATCTAAGTTCTGTACTTGATTGAGGTGTAGCACGTGCAGTTGTGAATTCTGTTTTGAAATTTTACTTAACTTTGAGTCTACAGTCAGCAGATTTCTGTTTCACTGGAGTCTTGCCACACACACTGGTCTGATATCTGGAGCTGTGATTTTCAGAGTGGGCCCCAGACCAGTATCGTAGGCCTCGCAAGCGAGCTGCCAATTCTGGACCCGCCGAGACCTCCTGAGTCAGAAACTGAGGGTGGGACTCTGCAATCTGTGCTTAACAAGCCCCCAGCTGATTCTGGTGCAAATTACATTTGAAAATTTCCCCTGGGTAGTCTTGCTCATGTCTACTGGTGGCTATAAGGATTTTCTTCGTGATGTTATAAATATTTTGCAAAACTCCTTGTTCACATTTCTGAGTATTTCTTTAGAATAAAGTGACGGATCAAGCGTGCAGGCACCTCGTGAGAGGGTTTCTTTCTTGAAACAGGTTGTAGCTGTTTCCCCCATACCCATCCCCACAAACAGAGCTTGAGATGGTCTATATCACCACAGTCTTCCTTTTATACAAACTTATTCTGTAAGTGCTTTCTGTTAATAAGTAGTGTGTATCTTTCTTATTGTCTTATATAGCTTTTTCTTAATAGCAAGTGTATGTTAAAGGCACTAACCTGAATGTTTACATGAAAACATGTAGATCTCTCATCTACCCAGAATTTTTCTTTACTGTAATAAAGATCTACATAGCATTTTAAAAAGTAAACAATTTCCCAAGAATACTGTCAATGAATTTTTTTAATCATAACTTTCATATTGGCACTATGATTTCCTGTTAGATTTAACCTTAGCATCCACTGTGTTCAAATTATCTCAGTGTAGCAAGTATGGTTCTTTTATAGTCTTCTGGTATAAAGCAAATTAATTTTGGGTATTTTGTTTTCATAATGTGCCAAGAGCTTAAAAAAGGTTAATCTCTTATTTAAGGAGGGGAAAATGTCAACTCCCCTGTGTGTTTGAATGTATTTTTGTTCTGAATCAGGTTGGTTTTCCATCTCCCCATCACATGTGGATGGAAGCCGTTCTTGAACTCTGTGTACAAAGCCTTTGAAGTGCTCATGTGTTGTGCTACTTTTATTCACCTCATAAGTTAAACAGATTTAAAAAGAAATAATGTTTACTACTTGACTTAATTTCTCTTTTCAGTAAAGCCTACAAAAGAACAAATGGATGTAGACTTTGAATTCTTATCATGAAAAAAAATTACGGCTATAGAGTGGGTCTTCATTGGGAAGAATCCAGGGAAAAGCATGATTTTCAGTTTGTTGCAGGATTCTGGAAAGCCTGGGAAACACAGTACAAGCATTCAAGCTTTAATTTCAGCTTAAGTTAGTGTCAGTGCTGTCTCTGCTATCGGCTGCCCCCTTCCTGCAGGAAGGGAGTGTGGGTAAAATTGTACTATTTCCAGAATCTCTTGCCTGGCTTTAGTGCATCCCTATATCAATAGGTGTTTCCAAGGGGGTGAGAGAAGTAGTCCATCTCCATCAATAGGTAATTACAAGGGGGAACGAGGATGTATCTGAACCAGAGAGGTTGGGTGGGGTCCCTTTTTGTCAGCCAGGTTTCAAGAGATACAGGCGAGCAGAAGTGGACAACTGCTTGCAAGCAATAAACGGGTTCTCCCACTTTATTTCTCCCTTTGACTGATTTTGGCTGCAAAGGTATTTTGCCCCAGGCTGGGAAGGTGTATTACCCTCATAGTTACAGGGTGACAGGCAAGTTTGCTGTCCCAAAGAGAGAGGGCAGCAAAGCCAGGCCCAGGTCTCAGCTCAGTCCCATGCCTGCCGATGGCACTTAGTGCTGGAGTGGCCGCTCCTCGCTCCTCTGAAGGGGCACTGTGGTGAGGTGTCCCGTGGGCAGGAGGGCATTTGAAAGACAGAATGGTCCCTGACCTCATTGGGATCTCACTCTGCAGGCGATGTTTGTCTGGTAGTTCATTTCATAGCTCATTTGAATATTGCCTCATTAACGTCTGACCACAATTCTGTGATGTAATGAGAACTGCTGCACTGCCCTCACTTGTCAGATGGAGAGAGGCGTGCAGAGGCGGTGCAGGAGTTCGCAGGAGGTCCAGTGGCTGAATAGTGAAGGAGCCCCGAGGAGCCTTGCAGATTCCCAGACTGCTGGTTGGTCCATTTAGGCCCAGAGTTAGAGTGATACTTTTCCCTGATTATTTTGATCATGAACTCCAACTGAGTAGGAAATATTTCTTAAACAAAATTTTATTAATTCTGTATAAACATCAGATTTGTATTCTGTTGTGCATTGAAGATAATGTATCAGACTTAGGAAGTGATCTTCATTTATGTATTATTTGTATAGTTTTTCTACAAGGATCTATGTATATAATTTTTATAGTTTTTTTTCCTATAACATACTTGATCTTATTAGATTGGGAGTTTATTAGAATGAAGTGATAGATCTGTCTTGAACTTGTGTTCTTTCTATTCTTGTTTTTCTTAAGGTGTTAAACCCAACTGAATCAAGGAACTAAGGAAAATCTGTGAGGAGTCAGAAATCTTCAGGAGATTCAAAAATAAAAATGGTCTTTTCCCCTTATTTCATTCTACTTTTTGTTTGTTTTAAACTGTTATTCTATGATGATGGATGTGCTCTGTCCTCATTTTCCCACATTCCTTTTGCCCTGGCTACAGCTGAATTCCTCATTTCTAATGTATTTTTTTTTTCCTCCTAGGCAAAACAGATAACCAATATATCCTCTTCGTGGCTGGAGGGACAGTTTTATTGTTGCTCTTTGTCATCCTAATTACCACCATCATTGTCATTTCTTATAACAGGTGCGTATTGCAACTCATCCTGAATCTTGTTTACCCAGAGTAATTCTGATGTTCAGGGTTCTCGGTAAGGAACTTGGTCAAGCTGCGCAGGCACTTACATACCATTTTTTGAGGTCTGTGCTTCCATAGGGAGGAGAAATGGTTGTGATAATATTAGAGGAGAAAGCTAGAGTAGTTCATTTAAGAATTACTGGGAGCTGGCAGTCTGTCCCCATGGTCACAAGGCGTTTATCCTCTGGGCAGCCGACTGCTTGGTGCCTGTGCTGTGTCTGCTTCCCCACCTTCCTCCTCCTATAAGGAAAAAAGACTGGCAGGCGAGAGTGGGGTGGTGGTGGTACGTGTATGTGATAGAGAAAGAGGGAGAAAGGGATTCTGAGAAGAGGAGGGACAGGGCTGAGCAGTAAGAATGCCTTCGCTTATTCATTCAATAAACATCTATTTTGACAGTGGTGGGAAGATGAAATGGAGCACATGTTGTAACAAGCAAACAGCATACTTTTAGATGGTTGTATACAGTAATGTAGGTGCTATTATTAAAAATTATTGAGGGAGAAAGAGGTTGGAAGGGGACCCCTTAGAGAAGGTAGGTGGTCTTTTGCCCCCTGCTAGTTCCTGCCTCTCACTGTCCCGAGGCACACTGGGGGATTTTCTAGGATATTCTTGATGACTCGCTGTCCCACATTCATCAGCTCACTTATTAGGTATTTGTTGCAATCTTAGGTGTGATCATTTTGGGGTGGAATTATTCTTATCCTTGTGTTCTGACCGAAGTGTTGTCTTCTGAAGGGAGGGAAGGGCCAAACTGTCGCTGTCACCGTTCCAAGTGCCTGACACACTGCGCGCACTTACGATACACCTGACTCGAGAACGGCTCAGAGGCTGGGGATGCCGACCCCAGTGCAGTCAGAAACCTGCACATAACTTTTGACTCCCCCCACACTTAACTACTATCAGCCTACTGTTGATTTTATGGTGGTAAATAATAAAATAGACTAGTATCTACATGTATTTTATGCATTCATGACATACCTTTTTCTTAAGTTTTTGATATTTCCAGGCTATGCAGTTCATCTGCAATTTTTTTCAAATTGTTGTAAATATCCAGGAAGTTTTACAGTATATTTATTGAAAAAAAAAACACAAGCGGACCTGCACAGCCCAAGCCCTTGTTGTACAAGGGTCGGCTGTATATGTTTGTAGCGTGAATGAGTATACCCATCTCCATGCTTCTCTTCCCTCAGTAACACCACCACACGTGCACACGCACCCACACACAACACCCACACCCACACACACACACACACACACCCCTCCCCCACGCGCGGGCCTGAGAGCTTACCGGCAGGACCTCTGCTAGGCCTCTGTGTCTTGTCTGCACCTCCCCGGCCCTCCGTCTGTGAAGACTCTTCTCACCACTCACCAGATCTTAGTAACACTCTCCAGGCTGCACCCCAGCTCCCCGGTATGGCCCCTCTTTCTCACCCATCTGATTCTCCCTCATTCCTCTTCTAAAAGCTAGACTGGCCATGCCGTCTTCCTGTTTGAAACCTTTCATCATCTTCCCACTCTCACCAGAATAATGTCATCACTCATCAGCCCTGGATCAAAGATGCCTTTTGTTCTGCCGCCAGCCTAATTAGTCTGAACCCAGCCTAGTGTGCACTGATAACTTTCTACTTTAGTTACACTCTGATGTTGACACATTTTGTTAAAACTGCAACTGTTATTCTGTGAACATACCGGACTCTCTTCCCATTTGCTAGGCCGCTGAAATGCTACTTGGCCCATATGTGGTCTTCCTCCTGGCCCATTCAGAGTCTGGGGCACATGTCCCCTCTGGGAGGTCCGCCCTGGTTCTCTCCCTGCAAATAGACATGATGTCACCATCTGGAATCGCACTGTACGTCTCTCTGCTGCACCTCACAGCCTGCTTAGTAGCTTAATCATTTTCAGTGCTTGTCTTCCCTTCGATTCATACTGGCAGGGATTGTGTTATATTCATTTTTTAGTGTTTGGTAGCATTTAGCACTAATCTTTCCAAATAATGGATGGCCAATAAGCGTTTGTCTGATTTAATTGTGATGTGAAACGGTTGCTTTTCCTTCCTCTCCATCGTGGGCTGCCCTCAAGCCTTTTCCTGGTCAGACATTCGCAAACGGAGGCGAGGACCCCAGGATGTTAGTGGCGTGCAGGATTTCTCTCCTGCCTCACTGGGTTGTTAAATAATGCACCGAGGGCAGATAGGACAGCAGGGCACCCGAGTGCCGGCAACATGGCCCGGGCGCAACGAATCTCTGCAGGGCCACAGATGCGGGACGTGACGGGCTTAACTTCATGAAAATGCATAACTCATACATGAATGGCTAAACCAGACCGGAGCATATATTGTCCCACTTGGCTGTGATGAAAAGATTAGTGGACTTAAATGCATAATCATGGCCAAACATCACAAAGGGAAAAGCACTTGTTCTTTCTACCTTGCTGCAGGTTTCAGTTTGTGGGTGTTATTTGGAATGGAAATGTTTTGAAAAATGACCCACGGGCTTAAGAACTCTGTCCTAGTGAGCATCTAAAACAGCCCTGCTTCTTCAGAGGTCCTGACCTGGGGGCAGCCAGGAGGAGTCAGTGTGCCTGAGCGAAAGCGAACCCCCTCACACCCAGTGCCTGGGGCCTGTGTGTACCGAGGCATCGGAAGCAGTTTCTCTGCTTCCAGTTTGTGTCGTTGCCAGCGGGAAATCAGCACGGTGACACTGTCGGGTGCACCCGGCTCTCGGGAGTGGGTAGCACCGGTGAGCACCACGGGAGCCAAAATGCAGTCTGTACGCTGACCCCTGTGTTTGTAGGAAGGAATTTAATACTTAGGAAGCAAAATGTTAGACATTTGTTTTTATGTTTGTTGTCAGCTTGGATGTTCACAACAGAGGGGGTGCCTTGTTTGCCTGGACTCTCCCAGTTTCAGCATTGGAAATCCCTCATCCCTGGGAAATGCCACAGAATCAAGCAAACCAGAGGGTCAGACAACCTAGAATAGCCACAACATTTTTTCTTTCTTTAGATGAGACGCCAGAACTTTAGAGATGCAAATAACTGCAGCACACAGATCAAGCGCAGATCACCTGACCCCAAGTTCATGTTCTCTTGTCTTCATCACTAGGCTTATACTCTAAGCTTATGTTAAAAATATATAGATATATTTATTTATTATATGCATACATATTTGGACCTACTTGGGAAAGTTAACTACATTATATAACAAGGCTTATGAACTGTGGTTTAACAAAAAATCAAAGGCCATAGATCTATATCTCATTTGTTCATTTATAAAAAGAAGATAATAGAATCTATATTACAGATTTCTGTTGAGGAGTAAATAATTTATATAAAAAACACCGAGAGACATGATTTGCACTTAGTAAACTTACAGATCAAATATGTAAATGAAGTAATTCTTTAAGTAATACTTCATAAGTTAACAAATACATGCACATTTGATAAGTCTGTGATTGTGTTGACATAGTAGGAAGATTCCAGAGTGAAGACACCATGAGAGTCGGCATCCATCACTGAACAACCTTATCTTGGAAAGAAATCAGCTTGCCTGGTTTTCAAACTTTCCATGAAGGAATTACAACTCCATCTTTCTGCATGAAGGAAAAAACTCGGCTTTGTGAATCTGACCGATCGCCTCTGTGGTTCAGGAAGAATCTTTTCTTTAGAGAGATGAAAAAACATAGTCATCCTATCCGCATCATCACTGTTTTCATACACTTGGATAGAGCAGTTTTATCCTCTGCACTGAACTAGAGTAGCCTCTTTTCTTCTCTTATATTTTCTCTTCAAAGATTCCCCCTGAATTTTTACAGGTGTTATTGGAGCAGTGGAGAGTTTATTGAGCAGTATGGCTCCAAATGACCCTCTGAGCCATGGCAGCGTGAGTCCAGAATCAGCACAACCTCTTAGTCAAGAGGGCTGTGGATCCGAATCCTAACGCCACCGCTAACCAACTACGTAGTCCTTCTCTCACTGTTAAGTATAGTTTTTGATCAAAGCTAAATGAAGTAATCTATACAGATGGTGTAGTAAAACACCTGTAAGTTTTTATAAAGCTCAGTCATATTATCACTGCCATCCAAGAAGTTGCACCATTAGCATTTTAAAAGAAGTCTTAATTGTCTAAACCCAGATTATCTGGAGAAGGAAGTAAGCCATTTATGCAGTAACCCACTAGGACCCATTCTTAGTAAGCTCTCTGAGATTAATTGCTAACGTACATCGGTTAGATACCCATTTAGATGCTATAACCATCTGTGAGCACATTGGAAAAGGTGTATAAAATGAAACACTTTAGGTCAATGGAATTTGAGGTAAGTATATATGAAGTACCTAGGGATACCACTTCAATAAATTTTGTAAGAAAGTATGGGCTGGGGTACAGGTGAGGTATAGAGTATTTGAAGTAACTGAGTGTAGTATCTTAACACCTCTGCTGAATATGTATTCTCAGGAGACCGAGACAGAAAAGAGGCCTATTTGAAGAGTCCTGGAATATACAAAATAAGGTAAATTTCCTCAGAACTGTTTTTTCTCCCTTTTGTGCATTAAAAATGTCTTGTAAAGTAAGTTCTTTTGGCAGTTAGCAACCTTATTTTCATTCTCCTTTTAATAACCTGGCCTTGCAGTAGCCTGTAATTCAAATACCAGCGACTTGAAGAAACAATTATATTCTGAATGGTTCTCCTATTATGAATGCCCTTTGAAACTAAGTTTGCTTTACATTAACATAAATGGACGTGTAATCAACACTGCATTACCAAAATCTGTGTTAGTTTCCTAGGGTTGTCACAACAAAATTACCACAAAGTAGGTGATTCAGAGTGACAGCAGTCTATTCCCTCGCAGTTTGGGAGGGTTGAAGCCCCAAATCAAGGTCTCAGCAGGATCTGCTTTTTCTTGGGATGAGCACCTCTTCTATGCTACTCTCCTGGCTTCTGCTGGGTGTTGGCAATCCTTGGCATTCCTTGGCTTGTAGGCACATCCCTCCTATCTCTGTTTTTCCATGGCATTCTTCCCTGTGTGTGCGTGTACATATGTGAGAATGCACCTTACCTCTTTCCCTCTTCTTATAAGGACATGAGTCATATTGGACTAAGGGCCCACCTTACTCCAGTAATGACCTCATCTTAACTAATTACTCTGCAAAAACCCTATTTCCAAATAAGGTCACATTATGTAGGTCTGGGAAGGAAATACGTTTTGGGGGGACTTTATCTGACCCACTACAGGGCCTAATGATTTTTCTGTCAAGAGGTTATTGTGAGGATTAAGTCAAACTGCATAAAAGAGCTGAAGCATGGCACATAGAAGGATGCAATGTTTTGATACTTATTATCATTATTGTGTTATATTAATGTATCAACAGTGGCTGCTCAGATCTCTGATGGGCTGCAAAGGTCTGATGACGTGTAGCATTTTCCTCCTCTACCTTCTTCTCCTTATTGTATAACTGAGAGTAGAAAATTCCTCCTGGGTTTTCTTGTAAAAAGGAATGCTTATTTTCATGTTCATTGTCTCTACTATAGGCCAGATATACTCTTTTAATACATATTATTCTGTCGACAAAATTTTACAATAAGATATCTCTCCAAAGGTCATCTAAATTTACCCCCATTTCTCTTCAATTTAATTACTTGCAATTCAACTCTACATGGCCAAAACATCAAGTAAAGTTTCTGGCAATACAATATGTGTGCTTCAGACTTCTTTATTATCTATTTATTCTATCAGTCTAACATTCTTCTTCTATGAAGGAGTTAATCCTTGTAAAACAAAATTTTTTTTCTGAATAAGCAATGGTCTGCTTCTCAGCACCCACTGCAAAGACCCTAGAAGTCTCACCTTGTCTATCTGCACGTCAGCATGCAGTATATACAGTGCTCGGTTGCACACGATTTTTGGGTCTTTTCTTTGTCCTTAGCCGTTGTCCACTCAGGCCGATCCAAAGCCAAATATATTGCTGTGAATTTAAAGGCATAAAGGAACTTTGCAACTTCCTTCATTACGTATTCAACTTCTTTCAGGTTTTTACAGAACAGTGGTATTTTGAATGGTGATTATAAAGTTAGTACGTAGGACTATGGAAGGTAAAGAAGTTACACCTACTTGATTCTTAGACGTTTCTTTAGACAGGCCATATAAGTAACAATAGCACTTTCTTTTTCCTTTTTCTTCGCAAACATGAAAACCGATCTAAATTTCCAAACTACTTACTGAAAGACCTCTATTTCTCTCTTCTTCTCTTCTTCTCAATGTCTCTCTGTCTTGACTCTCTTTTATGCACACCTACGTATTTTCTATCACATACAGATGGTCAAATGACTTAATTAGAATGCAGAAGATTAATGACTGTATAACATCCTCTTGAAAGTAAATGTCAGTTTATTTTGTTAATTTCTTTTCATGTGGTCAGTTATTTATTTTTAAGACAAGACACTGTGTACTTTAAAAGTATTATTTATTAAGACATTCATTCAACAGAAATTAATGGGTACTGACTATGGAAAAATACTGTAGTAGATTTTCCATGTTAAAAGTGAGAATAATTGTTTTCACCAAAATAGCCTGACATTGGGAGAGAGCCATCTACATCTCCACAGGCATCTCATGACGCATCGTAGAAGCCTGGACTCGGCGCCTGTTGTATCTCGCTCCAAGCCCTGCAAGTCAAGAATGTGATTTTTCACATTCAGTGCGATGAAGAGCAAGTTCAGGATGATGAAGAGAATGTTCAATACAGTTAATTGAGTGTTTTGTGAAATTGATTGTCATAGAAATTCGACCCATGTTGCGGTTGAATTGAGGAGAGATTTGTTTGAGGGTCCTTACTGGTTGCTGAAATGCAGTGAATTATCGACTTCCTCTTTTTCTGTCTTTCTAGGCATCTAATAACTACAGAAGCCCCGTCTCTACCAATCAACCATCAGATGGTGCAACAGAGGATGTTTATGTCAACTACCCAACCTTCTCTCGTAGACCAAAGGCTAGAGTCTAAGTTTTCTCCCTGATCTGAGAAGAGTTACATGACTGTTCTGTACATGAATCTTTATGCAATTTTTCCCCACTACTCAGTGTCTACCATGGATACTGGCTAAGTTGACTGAATTTATTTTGAGAGGAAACATACTGCATTATCTAGAGAATTAAACATTCTTAACAGAAATGTTTCAGAAAACCTGACTCTCATCAACGGAGACTTACTGAATCATGTAAGTGAGCGATTCAGGACAGATGAAGCTGCAGGCAAGAGTCATTCACCAAGGCCTCAGCTTTGCATCTAGAATTACTACTGGGCATTAACCCATTTCTGGATCTGCTTCTGCAGTGCTGGACCCCCTTTCCTGGCGTCAGCCTCACTCTCGTCCAGGCTTTCCCCTTGTTCCAGGAATCCTGCTAACAGCTCTTGGCGATTCCTGATCCTTGTTTCTATCTGGTAGAGAGCTTACTTCTCTGGCAGAGCAAACAAATTTGGTTATTTGTTCTTCATTAGACAGGCATTATGGCCAGAGGGGATGAAATGGATTAAGTCAATTAAGGGTTCATTCTATGGCTAGGAGTGGGGCCAAAGCACATTACTAGGAAATTCAGAGTCTCGTTAGAAAGGGTGCAGGGGAGCCTGGAACCTGGGCTGGTTACCAGCAAGCATGAACCACAGTGACGTTCCAAGACATCTCTTGTTAACCAATGAGGAGGGAATACGTGGGTGCATCTAAGCTCTTCCCACTTAGAATGTGCCACATCAGCATAGTCCAGAAGAGTGCTTATCAAGAAGGTAAATGTGACAGCGAAATCTCTTCTTTCTATTCACCAATAACTTCACCTCCGAGTCCATATAGAATTTTTGCCTTATAATGGAGTAGATCATTCAATAATAACTTACTTTTTCTACTCCTGAGAACTATTTTTAATATGTGAATTTTGTCAAAATGATCAGGCGCCTAGCTGTTACTGTATTTCTAAAAAACAATTATGCAAAATCAGAATACAAGAAAAAGGAGTGGTAGTTGAAGTGGTGGCAGAGGGTGGTAGGCTAGAAAAGTGAGGGGAAAAGCACTGGGGGTGCCCAAGGAAGCAGGAAAGGGGATCAGAGAATGGGGAGATGCAGAGAGAAGCTTGTCCTGCTTCATGGTTTGGCCAAAGACAACCCAAGTGGTGTCACCACAGAGCAGTTAGAGACCATGCCTGCCGTTGTCCAAATTCTAGATTTGGCAAACAGTGAAAACTATTTCTGACATTAAATAATGGTTGTAGTCACCTTGAACCACAATGATCACCACCAAATATAGTGGTCATTCATGTGTCAAATATTTGTTACTCATCTATAAAAGATCCATCACAAATTTAGTGTCAAAGTTGTAGACCTTTCATGACAACCAAAATCAAATTCTCATCTTGTCTAAGACAAAGTCCAAGCTCTAATTTACAGTTTTAAGCAAGTCAGTGGCTATTTTATGATTTTTTAGCCGTAAGTGCCATGTGTGCCAAATAATGCAATTGCAGAAACTGTGACCGTCCCTACCTGATTCAGAAGGGAAAAAATTAAAGTGACCATTTCCCCGCCGTACTTCTGTACATGCAAGAAGAGTGATCTCATTGCCACTTGGTGTGCTTGAAGATCTTTATGTCTGGATTCCTGAAGTGCTTCTGCAAATATACTGTAACAAAGTTGGAAGGCAGTTTACGAGAAAAAGGCTCTAATGTTTTGTTAACTGTGTCAGATGCAACTATGAAAGTTTCCATGACTGAGTCAAGTTTGTGTGGTGAAACAGACTTAGCATCACTTATAAAGGACGATTTCTTTTCCCTGAAGTTGAAGACAATCAAAATACTACTTTCTGGAAGATTTTGATAAGCAAATTCTCAATGACTAATATGGGTGAGAAGTGAGAGATTCCTACCATTGTGGTATGGGGCGATGTAAATCTCACTTGCACAGAGAACGTAGGGGTGTGAGGAGGGGATGTGCACAGTACACCAGATGTCATTGTCCTGGTGGTTTTACTAATGGTTTCATGGAGACGTTTGGGGCAAACCATTTAAGTGTTGAGAAGCTTCCAGACCAGTTGTAACTTGTCTCTTTTTCCATGGTGTTTAATTTTTTTTTAATCTCTCACTTTAAATATTTATGAGAACTATTTACTCTCTCCTTCCTATTTTCTATATAGTATTCCTCTGCAGATCTCAGGATTTTTTCAGGGATTGGGAACTCTCCTAAGTCCTGCTGAAATTTTTCTGACCATCTCTGCTGATCCTTTTATACTCTCAGCTCTTATACTGAGATGAAATTCTGTTCATTTTCTTTCTCAGGACGTCTTGACTTAACACAGCACTTTTGTGTAATCTCTTTACTATTATACCAAATTTACTGGAGTTTTATAACTCTACCTAATATATATATATATAACTGTACCTACTATATGGTATATGTACTTATAGAAAGAATTTCCCACCCTAATCAGTTGTATTTACTATTCTGGTTGTTACTAAGGAAATAGAGCAAAACAGATCCGCAGAATAAAAAGTCAGATGGAATAAATTATGTGTTAAGTTTATTTTGCAAGGTGCTACTTAGGAAGCAAGATGCTTCCCAAGATTCTTATTTACATAATTTATATCAATATATAATACCTTAAGTAAAATTCTTTGTTTCCTTTGAATGCAATTGTTTTCATATTTATAGTAAAGTAACCAATTAAAGGGAAACACTGTGTGATGACAGGTAGGTAACTTTATTAAATGTCATTACAGAGTACACAGTTTTGTCAGGGAAAGAATGGATCTTACTAACCGACAATGCCTAGATATTGATTACATGATTATCAGAGAGACCTTGAAACATTTATTTCAAGGCCTTTATGCACACTCAGAAAAGAGAAATCCTCTGTGACATAGCAGATATTCCAATGGTTGGGAGCAGATATGGTTGGGAGGCAGGTGAATGAGGCTATAATATTTGCTTAGTAAATATTCAAATTTATAGAATTTTAAAAGTAATTCAGTTCATAACTAAAATGTTGCATGCCAATTTAAGATACATTGATCATCAATTTATAAGATAAAATAAAAATAACTTTGGTAGTTTGCTTTTATTGCAAACATCAAAGTTGTGTTGGTTTATATAGACCTGTATTAAGTAGAAACTATAGCTGCATTGCCATGATTTTCCAAATTGGTAGAGTCCAAATTGTAATTAGAAATCACTGTTGTCAAATGCTTCTCCTTGATTTATAATAATATGCTATATTTTGTACTGCATGTATGAAATTTGAACAAAATTGAAGATGTTGTGGAATGAAAATGTTTATAAATTATAGGTGGGAATGCTAAATTGTGAGCATAGAGTTTAGCTTCTTTCCACAATAGTGATAAGAAAATATCTTTGAAGAATATAAAACAATATAAGCATATAAAAGCATTAATTGTCATGATTAGTTTGGCCACTATTAGAATACAGCATTTAGAAAGTGCTGAGCTTTGCACTCAAGATTTTTCATAAAGTAATGTATTTTTTCATTTGTCTGTTTGTTGGAATTATTCTAAGCCAAGTCTCTAGGCTTTTACACATTTTCTGAAAAATAAAAATGAGGTTTCTTAAAAAACTTTTCTGTTGCTTGTGGGCCAATAGGCAGAACTGCGGCTTCTAGGATAAACTGCAATTCCATCTAAGATAATTTTGTAAATCTTCAGGCCAGTTTGCATATTATATTTCTCCAGATTTATAGCACTAACTACATGTGAGGTGTTATAAAAAAGATCTAATTTGGGGGTTTGGGTGATAAATGTCTAGAATAATCCCCATTTATTGCCCATTGTTCCTATTTGAATGTAAGTTAGTCACTCTCTCTAGAACATTTTTTCCAGATTCCTGTGTAATTTCAGACTCCCAAGTTTTGTAGGGCATGCAAATGTGTGTCTTGACATACTGTATTCTGTTGTTTGAATGAATAAAATGCAGTGCTCCATGATCATTAGTTTCATCTGCCATCAAAGAATATTAGAGAAAAATTCCTACAGAATAATACTAACATGAAGAGTTAAATGCATAAAAGATTCAAACCACTGGCACTTTGTAACTTCTATTTCAAAGTAATATTGGTGCATTTTATAAGCTTATGTAGTTCAGAGAATGCTGTGCAAGGTTTTTTTTTGCAAAAAAAAAAAATAGTAGTTCCTGCCCTTCCCATTTTCCCTCCATTAAGGCAACAAATTTCACTTGTTTTGATTATTTTTCTCTAGCTTTCTGAGTAGCACACTTGTATCACTATTAGATTTTTTTCCCCAATTTTAGACAATTTTTCTTAATTTGAAGTGTCCCTCTCCACAAACTCACCACATATGCATACCTTTCTTTTGTGCCCATCCTTCCAAAATATCTGTATTAAAATGCTTATTTCAATATTGGTTCTTTATTTTTTTTATGACTTTGTTAACACTCTTCTCAGCTGAATGACATGGTAAAAATGATTGTGTTTTCTTACCGACGTAACTTTCTCTCCACCTAGAATTAATACATGTCCCCTTTTGGCTTGCTATTTTTGTGTTTACTATAAATTTATCTCATACTTGTGATACTCTAAATGATTTCTCCAGATCCTCTGTGACATAGCAGATATTCCAACAATCTCATCTTCCAAAAAAGTTGCCCTTGGACTTTGCCTCGGGGCCAACAAGCAGGGACTTTTGTCTGCATAGCTCTCATCCTGATGTGTCCCTTCATCCAGAAAGAGAGAGACGGTCATATGCTGGGATCAATTCTAGAAAATTTGCTAGTACAAAAGGATATGATGCTCCAGACTGCACATATTTAACCAGTGCCCAGAACAAGGAATGGTAAGAAGCCTGTTATATTTGGGTTTATTTTTGTAAAAGTTCGGGGTATTGGTTGTAAGCATTGCAACTTCACACTATGTTTTAGAAAAAAGAATTTACTTGTTTGAATGATACGGGTGGCTCATAGCAGTTCCAGGACACGGATGGGAGAAGCTTAGAAAACTGGGGGAAAATGTGGCAACTCTAGGGGTTCACCCGCCAGAAGCACAGCTACCACTTAGAACACAGATTCTCTGGTTAGAGCTGTGCTCTGGG